GTAAATAGGTTATAATGTCAAAAAAGTCAGACCAATTCAGATTGCCATTTTATCAGATTTGGCTCAGTGTAAAATTGTCAATTAAAATTTATTTGAAATATCTCACAGAGCAAAAACTTCTCCAAAAAAATCTCACAGAGAAAAACCAACGCAACAACTACAGCAAATTGTCGGTTTGTAACTCTTACATTCTCTAAAGCATGGCAAAGCAGTCATATTGAGTACATTATAGTTGTAGGGACCCTAATTTTTTATAATTACACTTGAAATCCTAAGCCTTAGGTTAATTGCATTTTAGTCCCAAATTTCATAAAATTTTACAAAATGCTCCAAGAAAAAATAATTTTTCTGTATTTATTTTGTATTATAACTAAATCCTAGGATGCCATTTTTATATTTGAAAATACCCCTAACACTTAGTTTTTATGTATTTTAACCCTTAGTCTCTACATTAATTCATACATTTTATTTGTTTTAGATTATTTGAATATTTATTAGTTCTTTGCATTTTTATTATTTATTTGAGCAAATTAGTGGAAAAAAAATATCTAGATATTTATTATTTTCCTTAGTCTTTAATCAAGAGGGTAGAATGGTCTTTTTAACCCAAATTCATGGCCTATAAATTGAGAGCCTTGTCTCAATTCCACACCCACATTTTCAGTAGCCTAGGGAGAGGGTGAGAGAAGGAGAGTGTGATTAGGCGGAAGTAGAGAAAAAGAAGAAGAAAAAAAAAAAGAGAGAAAAGGAAGAAAATGTGCCTTCTTGAGTCAAGGTAAGAACATACCTCACCCTTGTCTTCTCCAATTCTTTCACTCATCTCATTCTGTCTTGATCGAACACTCAAAGAGTCACACAAGCAAGCAAACAAACCAACAGAGGATGATACTCCGTGCCAGGAGTTTGAGCATGCAGAGCACAAGAATGAAAATCACTCTTTGGACTTACAAGTTGAGAAGGAGTTGGGTGTTGATAGATTAGAGGTACCCACGTGTGTTCTTGAGCCGCATCAGGATCAGACTCAATTCAGATGCTCAGATGTTGAAGAACCTTATGATAACAGTAGAAGACCTGAGAAGGAAATTGGAGATGAACAAGAAGAGAAAAAAGGCGAAGAGCATTGATTTTGAGACAGTGAAGGAACAGCTACAAGAAGTTGAGGAAACTACCGTGCAGCTCGTGGAGGTTTACGGTCAACTGTCACAAAATATCGAGCAGAGCCCATTGCATTTGGATGGAAATGCTTCACCAGAGTTGGAAGAGGCTGGGGATGTCCAAAGAAAGAGAGTCTTGGAACAGGCACGAAAAGGGTCTGAAAAGATCGGATGGTTACAATTGCAGGTTCAAAAAATCCATTACGTCTTGCTGAAACTATTGGATGAAAAGAAAAACAATGAGAAAAGCCGATTTTGCAGGAGCAAAACAACCACTATCCTGAGAGACTTCATTCACAGTGGGAGAAGTAGCCCACGACGGAAAAAGGATGGTCTTTTTGGGTGTTTCAGACTTCCAACCAATGGAGACGGTAACAATATCAGCTCGTTTAATTAAATTAGCTCTGAATAATCAATAATCAGTCCTTGAAACGTTCCTTTTACTATTTTAGGAGTGATCATTTCTTGAATTTCTTGGTAGAAACTGTTCTATCTTTAGTTCAGAGGATCTGTATGAATTAGATCTAATCTAATTTAAATAATCTGCTCCTTATGAGCCTCTTTTTACAACATTCGTGGTGCACTATAAATTATTGTACGAGTTTGATGCCGTACAAACAAATTTATCTTTGTCCACCATGTCCAAAGATAGATATACTGCAATCACTATCACTAATTAGGGTTTTGTGTGCTAGTTTTTGAGGGGATGAAGCTCCATAGGAGGCGGTGTCTTTTTCCATTTTTTTTTTGTTCTTTTCTCCCTACTAGATTGTGACAGATGGTATGCAGGCTGGCAATGTCTAAACATGTATATCTAAACATGTATATCCACTGTCGAGTTTTTATCTTTGCACAACTATAGGTATTATTTTATGTGAAATCATGGTGATAATCTCTGGTTCCTATTGCTGAGGGTCTTATGAATCCATCTCTCATGCCATTACTGAAGCTAAAGCTTGTTTGGTAGCAATCTTAGATTGCATGTTTAGAACATCTTCAATGTCATTTTATTCATTCTTTCAATGTCTAATTTCATTTTATTTTATTTTTTTGCATAACTACCACTGTCTTGCTCCGTATGTTTCCATGCAAAATCATTTTGACAGAAAAAAGTTTCACATTTTTTTCCAAAGACCTTTTCTTGCTTCTGATTGCATCTTAAATACTGATAGTTGTATTCGTAGTAGTGGTACGGAGGCAGTGGTGGAATGTGGCAGTTATGGGGTGGTAGTAGTGGAATAGAGGTAGAGGTAGTGATAGCGATGGTGATGAAGGTTGTTGGGAGGTAGTGATGGTGGATGGATAGAAGTGTGATGATATTGATAATATTTTAGGTTGGAAAACTTTGTAAAAGGAAAACATTTTTTGTCACGTAAGTATTTTTTTGATTGATCATAAAAAATATTTTTTTATTAATTTTTGTTTTAATTATACCAAAAGTAAAAAATGCAAAACGTAGGAAAATGAAAAAAAAA